GGGGGGGGGGGGGACGGGGGACGCACGATTCGAGCGATTCCGGGTGCGCGCGGCAAATTGCGCGGCGAAATTCGCGATGATTCAAACAACTCCTGCGCCTATCGTTGGGCACAAACTTGAAGTAGGGTACTTTAGTAGGGTCGGACAATCCTACTAATCTACTTTACTTCAATTTGACGATGATGATGATGATAATGATGATAAACGCTGTAGTCGTCCAAATCGCACCCAACTTCGACGCCCAATTTGCTGGAATCGCACGAATTGTTGCAATGCTAACCCCTTAACAATCTTACGCTCACCACTCACACCTGTGTCATTGCCCTAGAATCCTTTTCGACACTTTGTATATGTTTAGAGAATTTGCTTATTCAAATGAGGGTTATGCCTTGAAAGGAAAACCGTTGCCTGTGAACCTCTACTTCCATTGCACATGATTTCGCTGTAAACTTATTGTAAGAGCCAGCTGACCGTACTGAATTTCCGTTCCTTTTTTGACCATCACCTCAGATAGTTATAACCACGAAGAAATGCATTAGAAATTGATTCTTTCTTAATTAATTAATATTTCATAAAGAAGTGAGTACATGAATAAACTTGAGGAGGTTCCTCAAATGAAGGCTTGCCATTTCAGAGTTCTCAGTAACATAGATTCATGTTCTGAGCGTCTTGGCAGTTCCTTTGTTCCTTTCGCTCGGAGCATTTTAATTCGTTTTTCTATACGTTTTGTATGTTAAAAGCTGTTGTGACCAGCGATACACGTACCTCCGTGACTAGTAGTAGCTGGCTCTGCAGCGAAGATACCGTGTTCTTCTGTAAAATACATAGACGGTGTAAAATATTGCGTCTCAAAATCGATGGATTCGCTGGAATTAAGTAAATATATGTAATATGATCAGTTTATGTAGTCATTGGGTTTTCAAATTGTAAATAACGCTGAAGCAACTAATTGGTTCTTGGCATGATCGCAACGTTTAGCAAACGCTACAGGTTGTCTATGAATTCCGATCAAGAAATGACAGTATGATGCCAGCCTGATAATTCCAACGTAACCATGACATGGCAAAGGATACTTCTCCATCAAGGAAGCAGGAGGTACTATAGTTGCTGCCAAACGCATTTTAAGATCGAATTTAAAAAGATGCATACATTTCCAGCCGTGGAGCCCCTTTTATCTCTTCTACAGGGTATTTTTTTGGAGTAGTTTTGATTCAAGCCGGTAATTTATGCGACTCCGAACAGCAAACTGACTTCAAACCGAGTCTTTGGATCCACTTATCCTTATCGTTATATTTATTTTCTCTGAGATAATTCGCTAAAGCCGGTGACACTTTCATCCTTCGAGGAGGCATGTTTGGATACTCCTGTAAGTAGACAAACGTAAAATATGAGTACTGTAAGTTTATCGAACAACTAGAAAAACATTTTTGCAGTTTGGCATAAAATGGTGTTCCCCATCTTGCATCCTGAGCTAGTTTACGAACTACTGATCGAGGTCGTGGTGGTCATTGAATAGCACAGATAACTGAGTCGCAGTAAGAAATAGTGATAGATGTGGTTTACTCTTGAGCTTACTATCCCATTCTGAACACATAAGCTGCTTGAAAACCGTAAACACTTCACTTGGCGCCCGCCTTCTTTCCCATCTTGTCGGCTGACGATTTTTTGATGGTAGATTCACTAATTATGAGGGGAGGCAGACGCCATTTGCTAGTCGTAAGATGAGCCTTCAACCATACGTTCTGTCGTTTGAACAGGAGAATAGGTTTAGGAGTAAATCCTATTCAAACTACCGTGCCATTCATAGACACTATATGACCCCACAGAGTATTTGGCGAACTGTTATAAAAAGAAACACCACTGCCACTGCTTTTGAACCCGCTAGCAGAAAAAATAAACAAACCTCGGTAGAGAAACGATGCCACAATTCCTCTTGTTGAGTGACCGAGAAATTTCGTTCACGCCATGGCATAACAATTGTTCCGTTTGCACCTCCAAGACGAAATAAGGAGTGACGGTAGTTCCGAAAGTCCCTGAAAAGTTTGGTTATAACAAGGAAAAAGGCGTAGACATTCTATCTTTCACGCATACAATTTTGTTTGTGACCACGGTGGTGAAACCACAGAGGTGAGCGTCACGAACTCCGACCNCCCCCCCCCCCCCCCCCCCCCCCCCTCTTACAGATGGGAATAAAAGATTGACGAAGTAAGCCAAGGCAAGGCACCACTTCCCAGCAGTAAAGTGATGATTTTAAAAAATTTGAGCTGGTGTATGCGAATTGAGCTCGTGACTTACTTTAAGGAATGATGGAACTTGGAATCGTTTTTCGTTGAATATGCGACATTGACTCTTCCGTCTTTGTAGAGTTCGTTAATCTAAATCGGGTGCTAGTATATCTTTACATACGGACACTGGAAACTTTTTTGTTAAACTGACACTTATTAGTATAAATAACACTGTGCCCAAAAGCTTGTGTACCGATACCTTCAATGTGGCACCAGGTCCCCAATGCCATATTGGCCACGTTAATTCAAACTTTTTGAGAGAACGTATCAAACAAAGAAGAATCTTTTGATTGGAGCTCCACCCCTTAAAAACCTAGCTATAGCTGTGATGGGCTATGAGTTGGCGCAAAAAGTTCGAGGTCGCTCCCCTCGTCGCGGATGAGTTTCTTTCGTCTGATTTTTCGACCTATTTCAAACCTTTCCCCACAAATTTTGTGCTTTCATGAAAAAATTATGAAGTTTTTCTCACTGCACATCCCATTTCTGTGCCTATTCCTCATCTAAGAGCGGAATTTCTTTCAGCTAATTTTCTCTATCTTGACCTTGCTTGAGGTTCCGTCCATCCCAAACTCTGTCCGACCTTTCAGGTGCTTCTTCAGATAATAGAATTTCGAGACAGAGAGGCGGACAGACAGAAGTGAATTCTTTCTACATGTAGCGAGTAATGATGATGATTTCAAAGGTACCAAGCAATGATAACGATTTAAGATAATATCTAGAAGTCAAACGTCTTCGGAAAGTTGTGGATTTTGATCTTAGCCCCTCCCAACTCAGTACGATTGATTTATTACAGGAATTGATCATTCACTCTTTAACGGCCTCTACGCATTTTTCGGGTTTTAGAACGTTTCGAAGCAGAGTTAATGTGCTCATGCTTCCCACCTTAGTGCAGACGCCACCCACCGTGACAATTTGACCACCCTTATTAAAGCTGCCCTTAACCATCTCAACATTCTGGAACGCTTTACCAGAGTAATGAAATTCTGACCCTGGTCCCGCCCACCTTGGTGCAAGCCGCCTGCCTTAGGGATTTCTTAACAGTTTCTGATCATATTTTAATTCATGATTTTAGCCCCGCCCATCACCTCGAGCCAACCCTGCCCAGTTCAAGGATTTCCCCAAACTCTTCTATTACTTCTCATCGTTATTACTGTGCTGTGGATGTCGTTTGGCGGCCATTCGCGCCAAACGACCGCCTCCCGGCTCCGCCCAATTTCGGTGCGTGTTCTGCCCTCTGTGAGCGGAGCTCCGCCAAACTCACATGTGCTCTATACTTCCTACTCTATGCAGAATGTATTCCAAACCCGATACGACCTTTACAGCTGTTTTCTTCGTTCTCCAGCACAGAATTTCGCGACAGACAGACAGATGCGGAGGGGTTATGTACAGGGTGCCCCAAATTGTGGGCGCCAATTCATGACAATGTATTTAAAGTTGCGTTGTAAAGTTTAAAGCTGAGAATGACAACGGAATCTATATTTACATTTGATTTCATTATGTGCTAAAACATGCTACAACCATATTTCAAAATAACCCCATTGGCACCGGTAGAAGGCAAAAGTCTCTTCTTGATCCCCTAGCCTGTTGCATGTGGTCCTCCTCCATTTATTCTCAACCGTTTTCGAAGTTGCATTCTAGGATTACGAACTCGGATTGCAAGCCGGCAAGTTCTCTTTTATGAAGGGGCCAGAGGAAGGAGTCAAGTGAGGTAGGATCTGGAGAGCAGCATGGCCATGTTATGGAGCCGAGCAGCTCGCGTTGGCACTACTCAAAAAGAGGGGGCTTAGCTCTTTGGACTGGAGTACCTTCTTGCTGGAAAAACCACGAGCTGTTCCAAGAAGCAGAGTCGTATCAATGCTTCAATACGTCTGTCAGTATGCCCCTTTAGTACATAACTTTGTTCATTTTCGCCAGCATCGACGAAACAGTCTTACTCTGCTATTCTATAACGACTTTTTTTTATGAGAGATTGCACATTCGATTTTTCTATACAGAACGCGATACTTTCATTTGTTAAGAAGTGGATTCGTCATGGAATTTTTTTCGTCAGACAATACGATGAAGGATTGCGTGTTTCCACTCAGCTGAATTAGCAACCTGCACTTTTTGGCCCTGCTCTGCTCATATAAGAAAGCCTTTCGCTCACTCGCGGGCTAAATCGTGGACTATGAAGGCAGCCATTGAATGAGCTTCCGAAATCTAAAAGATATTGTGAGTCCCTTCAGTGCTGTGCGTATTCCTAGAAAACCCATCTGTGCAACTAACAGCGAATGAAGTAAACTTTATAAACCATGTCAACCTTAGAAGTTTTTGAATTTTGGCTTCTATAACTTTGGTATACCCTGCATAGTACAGCTAATAACGGAATCTTTTGCTGGCCTGTCAAACAAATGAAATGAATTAAAAACAATTAAATGGAAAAGAACAAACTATGCCACGGTCTCTTTTACGACGGTAGACCATAATGGAAAGGGTTGAGTTTAGCCCATCTGCCGATGACGGCACCATCGTTGAAAGACATTCCATACCTTGGCGTATGGCTGCCGGTGTTGACATCATATAGAGAGCAGTATGTCTGGAAAAGTTTCAGTTTTCTTTCTATACCCAGACGGGTCGCCCGGCTAACGCCGGGCCTCATTCCTTACTTTTACAACTTTGGATAGAAAATGTATTTGGGGAGGGGAGGGGGGGAGGGTTAACAACTGTCTAGAACCGCATGCGCTGCACGCACGCGACGGACGGACGGATGGACATCGGTAGAATCGTTGAAGTCTGAAAGCAACTACTAGTGGGTCTTCACGCAGATACGAATGTGCGTTTTAAGCAAATACTTGCGTAAAAACGCACCAGTCTGCGTAAAAACGCATGACTGCGCCCATTTGATCCAACGAAGTAAAGACGTTGGATGAGAAGATGGAATGTGAGATGGGAACTCAGGTATGCTTGCCACCACTCTGGAGATGATGTGGGTGGGTAAAGAAGTCACCTGGTTGTGTTGCGTCACGGCAAGGTGCTCGAGTCAGGACTTACAGCCGGATTACTGGGGTAGCATGTTCTCATGCTTGCCTTTCGCAACAATGACGCAACACACCCAGGCATTTTCCTCACTCACCTCCACCACGTTGCAAGCCAAACGAAAATGAGTGCACTTGGGCAAGCTCACTTGCTCAGTTCAATGGCAAACCAAATCTAACGTTGTAGAATGATAATCACCCGTAGTGTCGACGAGTCGACGAAGCTTTAAGTAATATGATTGTAATTTGACTGTTACTTTTAATTGATTTAGGTGTACTGTAGACGCTATTGTTAGTAGTGACTCATCATCGTATGCAACAATGTTGTAGATTCTTGAGCTTGCGGGCGCCGACTATGTTGTTAGATTTCATGAGATAAGCTTGACATACATAATAAAGGCAGGTGAGGAGAAGGAGCTAGTCGCTTCTTGCTTCTGCATCAATCGTTCAGTCACAAGTTCGCCTAGTTGAAGAAATCAGAGGACTGCTCTTTCTCCCCACAAGTCGCAGTGACAGATTGTGAGTTGCTAGTTATTGACCGTAGTTCATAAAGGTGTACTACCATGCTGTGTTTGGAACAGAAGAAGAAAGTCCCGGGTGGCAGTCTGAACAGTACTGAGCCCCTCGATACTTCACGTAGTGACAAAATCACACTGTGGTTAATATTAGGACAAGTACTGGCAAATGTGAAATACTTACTTCATGTGAATAGAGCAGTCGATATTTTCCGTGATCATAGCTATTTGGCTGTAACTGATGTCAAAAATGGCGGGTTGGTCTTCCGGCTGCAATAAGAGTTTTATCTCTGGGCCCATGAGTATAGCCGACTTTAAGTGAGTTGTCCACCCTATGATGGTAACATATCATTTGGCCGGAAGACCACTTTCATTAAGAACTTTGGTGGCAATTACCGACCAGCGTTTGACGCATGCAACAACTGCCATCAGTGAATAAGTTTTCTTGGAACAATGTTATTCCCCCACTCATTTGTTCAATAATCGCTCTTATAACCAACAAATTATTACAGATAACTCTTTAGCTTATTAGATTACTCGAAGAGATGTTCTTTGTACAAAACCATGTTAAGGGCACAATCAACTGACTCAAATAAAAAAAAGCATAACAAGTGTGGTAAAGCTGACCTCTTCAACCGGAGCTGTTTCCACTGAAAAGATTGCAACCACCACCAAAACAATTAGCACACCCGTGACGAGTATCATTAATATGTCGTACCTTAAAACAGCATTTTGTGCAAAACCATCGGGAAACTCTAGATAATGCTCTTCACAACGAACTGAAAAAAATAAATTGAATAAATTAAGCGCGTATGGATATGATGTCGAGGCATGGTGACTTCAGTGATTTGAATTCCAAACATGCGAGTCAACATGGCAGTTACTAAAGTGGCCAATAAACTTATCCCTTAATTACAAGTCCCGACTATTCTTTATTCTCGAAACTCCGTTAACCACCAAATTATATTGTCTCATTAGCATTACTGTGAATATTTCCACTGATACTGCTACTGCTGGTTTATTTCAGTATTATTACTCGTACGTATACCAAAAACTTGTAAAACGCTAATGAGTACAAAAACAACTTACTCTGGAGAGTACGCGTCTGCTATCGGATGAGCAAACTTTTCTTTTTGTTTTTCCGCCTCTCTGTACGCTTTGGCTTTATATTCGTCCGAGAGCGACGCTAAACAATTCGCTTTGAGGCAGAAATGGCTTCTCTTAAAGGCATGGCGCAAAAATCTGCAAATTCAAGGACCCCACAGCGGGTAACTAAGCCGGGTTCCGGTTAGGGCCAGCGAAATACGTTAAATTCATCTGGAAGAAAGAATATGAACTAGGGCAATAGCCATTTTTTGAAACACTTGTTTAAACGAAATATCCTCTCCCATTCGTTTTATGTACCTAACGTGCAAAGTCCTCTGATGAACTCTATGAAAATTTTCCTTTCCTAATGTATGGATTCTTCCCACTTACTTTTCCGAGTACTTCAGCATAAACAAAAAACTAACATCTTCTCTTCCTGTCTTCGAGGCTATCCGTCCCGCTCTTCGAATAACCCGGATCTAAACACGTCCTGTTTTAGAAGATTGCTCTAGAGAAGCAGGGAAAATTGAAGGAGATGAAAAAACTTCTAGAAAAAGCTTCCAATATTGAAGTCACCATTGCTTCTTATAATAGTGCTGTTCAACATCTCAGAGGTATTCTACTTACTCCGTCGTCTGTCTATCGTTCTGTCTGTCTGTCACGAAATTCCTTAGCTCCTTTAGATCTGTCTGGAGAGACCAGGTCCACCGTGGGATGGGTCGGCCATGTCCCGAGACGTATAAAACACACATCAGCTTGGCGGAGCCCCGCCCACAGTGGGCGTGGCGTGCATCGATATGAGCTGTTCTGAGGACCATGATTTCAAATTCAGTCACAAGACGGCTTCAAAACTGGGGTTTAAAGGTGGCTAGAGGTGTGCATTGATAAGTTGGATCGAATTGGGGAGATCCTACCCCGATGGGCGGGGCGTTCTCCAGAAATACAATGTTCTATGAAAACATTTGAGAAAATCATAACTCCTGTCCCCGTGGACCTAGAAAGTTCAAACTTGGTAGGAGTACATGCGACGGCATAGTAACATTTACGGCGGGTGACAGGATCAGACTCCGCCACGTAAGGCGGGGTTTGAGCGGAAACTCATAAATCTGACAATTGTCTATAATGAAAATCAGCTCATGTGGCTGCGTCCCTCATGGCTCGAGCCCCTAGCGCATGCGATAGCGTGCGTAGCCGCCTGGTTACTTTGTTAATTGTTAGCGCAAGATATAAGGCAATTAGCTGATTGTGTACTATGTCTTTGATAGCAATAGACATCGCCAAAAAATAAGTAACTTAAATATGGCTCTGAGAGAGAGAGAGTCTGCTTCCGAAAAACATTACACGACTTCTCGCAGTAACTCACTTTCCTTCAAGACTTATCCTCGAACGGTTCCGAGTTCTTTTTTGGAGCTTCCACCAGCTTACTGTACTAACAACTACTTCGAAAAGTCATAGCAAATCTTGTTTCAGACAGAAGATATCCAATGCACATATGGGGCAGAATTCATCTTTACTAGTCAATTTCCCTACGAGAACTTTTCCGCTCTAGTGTCACTGCAAGATCTCGCATCCAGCTTACAGTTTCCTATTTTCTGATATTTGCCGTGATCAGGCATCACGACACAAAAAGGGCGAAGTTCCATGTTATTTGTTGCTTTCACGAAAGCGAATGCTGAACTGGCTGAGTTGGGGAGATGGGAGTAACACTCTTAAGTAAGAGCCCTGCTCAAAACAACGCAGCATGCAGGTATCAATTCTATGGGACAGTTAATGTGTCGCCTTTATAAACATTGGAAACGAACTTTTTTATTGCTTTACTTACGCTGTCATGCTGCACCCGTTAGAAAGGGCGTAACAATGGTCGAAGCTCAGAGATCATTATGTCAAAAATAAATGAAACGTAATAAAGATAAAGAATAAAGAACCAACATACGTGGATTTTCAGCAAAGGTGACAAAACAAACACAAAATAACTCACAGTGAACATCTCTGTCGGGCTTCAAAGGATGATAGACAACGCCATGCCTTGGTTCTGAAATGATTGTAATTCTCAAGTGAACTGCCAAGTTGCTGCACGCAGAAAAATGAACTGAGAAGATGAACTGTAAAGTCCTGGCTCAGAACCACTTTTACAGGTACTGTCAGACAGGACCCAAAAAAATACCACTTGATAGACGGGTGAGACCAAACAAAAAAGCAATTCTGCAATTCGAAAAGAGCGGCACAAGCCCAGATAGGGGTGAACGTCTGTCGTGGACAGTTGCAAGTGCCGAAGGTACTCAGCGGTAGTTCTAGTGCTTCGTCGAGTTCTAGTATTTAAACAACTACGAGCCAATGATGGTACAAAAGAGTGACATTCACAAAGCAAGGCAGTCGCAATAGCAAGCCTTCTCAGAAAAGGGCAGTGTACCGAAAAGTAGCCACAATTCCTATATCACCTTCATTTCATTCAATCTCAGTATGGTTTACTCCGCTCACTTTCTAGAGGAGAATGTTGCGGATAAGGGCTCGAAATCTCTAGCGTAACTTCATCGAGGCTCCGCCTACCGGACCTTCCAGGACTTCTCAACAAAATCTAACTATCTTCACATATATGATGGATAACGCTGTTTAACCAAGAGAAGAACTTCAACAGAGGCTTTTAATCGATGGGATCAGCTATCGAACAGTTTTCTTCAGGAAAAAGGACTCTTTTACCCCAAAAAGCATTCGCATTATGGCAACCGATTGCTGTTCTATGCAGCTTTGCTAATAGTCAATATCTCCTATCACATTCTTTACTATGACCAGAGGCGGAAAAGAAAGATTTTGATGAGATCATATTGACTTTATGGTAAACCATACGCAAGAGAACGGCGGACTTTATGTTGAACACTCACCTTTCTTTTTGGTTGTTGCTTGCCTGGCGCCTGGCACTCCTGACTGGGCAGCTTCTGGGACTGAAAATTATAACAGAATAAAAGAATGAATAGCAATTTACTATGTTGAGGGTGTGTGTGAGTGTGTATGTTGTGAGCCGGCGTGTGTGTGTGTGAGTGTGTGAGTGTGTGTGTGTGTGAGTGAGTGTGTATATATATATATTGTGGGTTACGTGTCGTGGGTAAGTGTAGGTGTGTGTGTTTGTTCCATACTCCTATTTCCTGAGTAGGACGTGTAAGTTTAAAAGGCGTGTGTGCGGCAGGACAGGAACACAGACAGCTGGTGGTGATGGACCTATTGGATCAAGAGCATTCAAATCTGAAAGGGTGCTAGCGACAGGATGAAAGTAACGCCGCTGGTATGCGGCAGGATTCCGCTGGCGACAGGAAGGACGTTCACAAATTGTGTCGCGAGTGTGTTTAAGTGTATTTCTGGAAATTCATAACTCCTGTTTTCTTGTACATGAACATCAAAATTCAACGGGGTGCGAGCAGCATGCCAAATTCGGTATGAAAAGGAGGAGAGTTTGGGGTCAGTCGAGCGATTCAGCTGGTACTCATTATGAAAGAAAGCTCAATTCTCTATGCTAATGAGTCGCAGCACGCAGTGCGGTAAGCTTAGTCGAAGATCATTCAAACATTGTAAACAAACACTCATCTCCATTTTAGGAATTCTTTGAAACATCCAGAACTCTAGCAATAGGAAACGTCTCCTGCGCTAATATCGTGCACTTCATTCCAAAACCTTCGCCGTAGGCTACTTATTTTCATCAGACTGCAGCACCTCGAATCAGCTGGGTGTTCTTCCCTTTTTATGCCAGTGGTCTTCCTGTAACCCCAGTATATGTTGATCAGCACGACGAGATTTCATTAGCTGGTCGCATCTATCAGTACACAATCATTTGTTATGCACCTTTTAATCGAAGTTCGTAACTGAGATCCTTGTCTGTTAATGCGCCGCCGAGGAGAAGGACGAGGCCAGGAGACTGGAGACGGTGAGACGGCACTCCGGTTCCTCGGTCCCTGGCTGCATGGTCTTTGTAACATGAGATATAGCGCTCTCATACAGAAAACAGACAGCAACTCTTCTCGTTCGCTTTTCTTCGATTGCATGAGCGAGTTTTGGTGCTGACTGCTGTAAATCCGTGGTATAGCGTTCCCTACCAGATTCTTAAAGCAGCATCTGAAAAAGCTCCCCTTTTAGAAACCAGACAGTCGTTGTTATTGCCAAATAGGGTCTAACTCTAGTTTCCCATGTAAGATCTTGCGAGTATCAATAATTTTTCCGCGACCATGTTTGTAAAAATGTCGAATGACTTCGCTTCGATCGCACTTAAGAAGCTCCACCAATTCGCTGCTTGCAGCCTCCGGCCCCTTCTTCACTTGGCTAAGAAGTCCGTCATTGATAGCAATTGGTCAAGAATTGTCATTGTCGTGGTAACTCCAAAATAAAAGCGAGCAGATAAACGACTAATGGTCGCATGGCTGACGAGGTCCTGTCCTTGTGCTTGTTGAAGTTGAACTCTAACGCACTATTCGAGGAAACTTGGTCTGCCGACAGCTCACATTTGACTTCCATTCAGAATCGGTGTGACGGTTTGAATGCGTATGTGTAATAATATACAATAATACAATATAATATACAATAACTTGTGGTAGCCGAACTGTGTAAAAGTCAAGCTTTCACCCTTCAGAACGAGTCTGATACCAATTGATTAATCCAGAAGGATGGAAAGCTTGGATGATTCGCGCGAGTATCTACCGAGATCTGAATCGCGAACGATGCGTGCGTGGTAGTGCATCTTTTGCCACTCCATCACCCCTTATTTGAATGTTACTGGTGGTAACTCTGAGATTGATCTAGAATATGGTGATGGCCCAAGAACGACGAAGACTCTTATAAAGAGAGGACAGCACAGTTCATTCGTGCCCCAAAAGTTGTACACTTCCTATTACTACAAGGACTTCGTATCAACCTGACAGTAGCAGAAAGCGGTCGTATCATCACATGCAGCTTACACGTTGAAATGTGTTGCTCCTATCGTTGTCGTTCACCCCCCACCTGGTATCACTTCTCACACTTCCCAGAAGTTGTTAAGACTTTCGCGGCACCATTTCAGACGTATGTTAGAGTTCTACTTCAGTTAGTGACCACAAGCAGCTTACATATCTGAAAGAGTATCTAGAGAAGCATCATACCTTGAACATCCTCGAACTTCGACTCTGTCCTAGATGCAGAAATAGCAGGGGTCCGTCCTGTGGACGCAGAAGGCGTGAAGCTTCGGCCTCTGGA